TTTTGCTTGTAAGCGGATATTACGCTCGTAGATTAAAACAGGTGTTCCTGTTTGCCCTTTTCGCGCGACGGTCGTGGAAATCGAACCACGTTTCACGCAGGTCGAGACTATTCCGGTGGATTAATTCGCGGCACAAGCGAACATCGACTCACCCGTTAAAATTTCATTGTCTCGAAACCCGCCGGCAACGCGTGTTTCGTTCGCCCGCTCAAATGGTTTTACCGTCGTCGTAAATAGCAACAGTTGGGAAATTAACATCTGCGCGCCGATGTAAATCCGACCGGTTGCGCGATCTTACCGGCTCGCACTCCAGCAAATTGCGCCGCGATCGTAAATCACTCTGGGATCCTCTTCGACCGAAATATAGCCGAAGACAATAGAAACACCGCGATAAGAATAATTCTCCAGTCGTAAAAATGCAAGCAAAGATAGAAATTAACGAGCTTCTGTATTCTATTGTTAGACGCGCGGAAAATCTCCCAGCGTGGCCCCGCGTGAAACGTTGTATTTCGACACGAGAATCAATTCACCGAATTTTATACTGGATGACTCGCGAGAAACACCGAACTGCTCTCGAATTCGTTCGAACATATTTTTTGGCGAACTTCCAAGGTCGTTTTCATATTTAATCAAGGTCAGCAAGAATTATATCTTGAAAGGGGATTTGTAAGTTGGAGTTGACATCGAAGTTGAAGTTCGATGTTTACGCCTCGAAGGTTTCGTTGTCTGATTGTAGATTTCTGTGAATATCCTTAAACGAAAAGGAGGTGCGACGACTGTAGCGCCGGAAACGAGAAAATAAAGATTCTTAAATTTCACGCGACTCGCGCACGACAAAGAGTCGGTGGTATCGTTTCGTTAACATGCATGCATCGTGCGGCTATTTCGTATCAACGGAGCACGAATCTTTCTTACCGGAAGCGACTGTTGGCGTAACGAGATATCCACTCGTTCTCGGTACTCGAAGTTCAATCTTGCCGTTTCAAGAAAAACGCATCTAAAATTCGAAGAACCAAATGGTAATTCGAGCACTTCAAAGTGAACGGGGAAACTGCTAGCATATAAACATGAAATACTGAGCTAAGAGACGCGTTGGAAGTCGATCCTTCCTAACCACTAATGCACAACAAGAAATTTTGTACCTTTCGTTAAATCTTCATGAAAACGTTACGAACGTATCGGTGAAGTTTTCCCGATTAAAATGAGTTCAAACATGAGCCTATTCGAATCACTTTTAGTTGTGCGTAATCAACACGAATAGACTTATGCGAATTAGATAAAATTAAAAGTATTCCAAACGTGGTCGTGTTTGGACTTATTTTCATCGGGAAAGTCTCGCCAATCCACCGGTAATACTCTCGTGAATTTACAATGACAAATATGTTCAAATAGGATAGATAGGAATCATTTATGAGTAATGGGATCTACCTACGTTAGAACATACATAAGCTGGACAAAGAACCGAGAATTAAATCACTTCATTGAAATAGTGAAATATCGCTGGACTATTGTTTATCGCTGTAGAACCGCAACGTTGAAAAATTTCCATTCCGTTCCAGTTCTCGGTACTACTTCCGCTTGCGCGCGCGCTCATGACACGATGCAACCGAGAACCGTCGCGATCTGCTGGCGAAAACAAATGCAAATTCACTGTCCGCCGTGCGGTGTGTGCAGTGTGTCGTTATTACGGCAATTAATTAAAATTCCCGTCATTATTTGTCGTCCTCTAGTCCTGAAACCATGCGTGAATCGGCGACCGGAGCGGTCATTTTGCATGCACCCTCAAAAAGGCCTTCTGTCGTGTTTCTGATGACATACTATTCCGATTGGAAATTGCCGTGCTCGCACGTCAGCCGATACCCGACGCTTTAAAACAACCGCGCACGTGAACCGAAAGCCGTACTACTCTCAGCGTCGATACGGGAAGAAATTCTTATCTAGATAAAACTTTCGTATAACGAATAAAAGATACGCGACCATTCGTCCGTTAATCGTTAAATAAAAATTAGAGCTTGAAATACGGAATGAAATTATCGCGGGAATCTTTTGCTTGGAATTACGTTGCAACTTTTTGTACGGTGCTCCTTAGGGAAATGCAACTTTTAGAAATATACATTTTGTAGATTAAAGGGCAGAGATTAATGGAGAATTTTTTGGTTTACGAGACGGTATACGAAACATTGTTTAAAAAAAACGTCGAGTCTCGCTGGCGAGACACTTGACGCTCGGGGCTCCACTCGAAGACATTCGAGTTTTATTTTCTTTAGGTTGTTTCCGAAGCTGCTACACGCTTCGAAAATAGACAATTTATGAAGGGGAGGAGGGGAGGGGGGGAGGAGGAGGAGGAGGAGGAGGAGGCCAACGAATAATGCAATATTTTTTATTACAAGCTATTGCATCGCTCTATCTTTACGTGACCAGGACGTCGCGGGCAATCTACGGAACCCGTATCCGAACGTGACCTGCACGACGAGTATCATTAAGCGGCCCGAAAGAGCAGATAACAGTGACCGATGCAACGCGAGAGTAATTTTTAGACCTTTGTACTCGGCGAAACCGCTTCTTTCGTGCCAACAAATTTCATCGTCTCGATTTCCGTGCTCTGCTACAGCCAAAAATATCCAGAATCTGAACTTTCGATCGAGATAAGAAGCGTTCTGCCGAAAAAAGATGTCTGCATGCGTCGCCTTAAAGAACCGTCGCGAACAGAGTCGAAACGCCGACGAAACCTGCCCCGATCGTAGCCGATGCGCGACTCCGCGACGAGGGAAAAAAAAAAAAAACTGTATTTCGCGGCGCGGGTTCGAAAATAGCGAAAACCGCCTTGTCGAGATGTTAAACGGCGCGGTGTCGGGCGCACGCTTAGAGAGAGCCTCGTGTGCCACGGATTCCACGGAACGTCTCGTGGCTGCGTTGCGTTATGTAACCTAACTACGTGGTGTAACGGGGCGGTTGGTCGGCGGTGGGCTTTTACATTGCCCCGTTTCTGTGCCACGCACCCACCTCCCCCCTCCCCACCCTACAAACGCCCGTCGTAGTTTCGTCGCTCGGGGACAAAAAAAATCGATAGGCTCTCTCCCCACAGCGCCGTACACAAACACACACGGTTTCTCTCTCTCTCTCTCTCTCTTTATTCGCCCCAAATCCCTCTTCCGACTGTCCTTCTCTGTCTGTTCTATATGTGTGCGTGCGTGCGTGCGTGCGCGCGCGCGCGCGCGTGCACTACCGTGGCCGAAGTTCTTGTACTCTGGCTGTTCCCGGTGTGCGGCGAAAAAAAAAAGGAGAGAAAAAAAAAGAGAAGGTGTACACAAGCGAGTAACAAAGCCTGCCTGGGATCTTTTTTTATACGTTTATGCACATTTCCGCTCCCTCGGCAGTTTTTGTACCGCTGGCCGCCGCCGCCGCCACGAGCCCACGAATCCGTTACCGCCGAAAACACGCATCGCTAACCTTTGGATCGTTCGCAGCCGAGTGAAGTGAGCGAGCGAGCGAGGAGACGCACGCGTGCGCAGCTTTTACACCCGAAGACCGCGCGTGTAAAAATAAATTCGCCAAATGAAACGTGAATTCGCGTCTGTGCCGATAACGAACGGCGGAAAGCAGAGAACGGGACCGCCCGGATTGCAGGATCAGATGTTCCCTTTGATCCCCGATCGATGGATGTGTCTGTGTGTGTACGTGTGTGTGTGCGTGCGTGCGCGCGTGAGTGGATGTGTATGCGAGGAGGCCACGCGGCGAAGCATTGCGAGATATGACGTTCGAGCGTCCGAGAGTTCTCGATACCGATTTGCTGTACATTTTAAACTCCTTGTTTTCCTTCTGTTTTTTTTAATGAGATTGTAGTAATTCTGGATTTAGAAGAGTCTATTTTCCTAGAACTGTGCGTTTTCGGAGAATGCATGGCACCTGCCGGATGCAACTGCAGTTTTCTTAAACGTAGCCATATGTTTCCTGTTAGACACACCCGATCTCTACTCCGAATACAAAAACTATTAAAATTCTTTGGCCAAAATGGCTGAAACTTTTTTTTTTGTTAGTTTCTCCTAACGTTCCAACGGAACTAACGAACTGCCTAACTAACGAAAATATTGTATTTCTTTTTGGTAATTTTATCGAATCGTTGCGAAACGACGGGGAAATTTAAGATTCGAAGCTCCCATTGGTCACGATCTAGCGAACCGTTTCATGGACTCTAGGAGTAAGAACGACACGGGTCGCGACTTATAAATCACGTCGACAATCGGGGTTAGTGCAGGCACCCTTGGAAACCTGTTCCACCGAGCGTCTCGTCGAGCATTGTTCCGCTCCATTTCGAACTTTCCTGACCTGGTGTATGGAAGGGTCGCGTCTAATCACACGTATCACGCATGTTAATTAACGGCCCCGAGTCCTTTATGCACTGCGAACAACGACGCGAGATAACCGTAAATTGCTTCCAATTTAACACGCGGTGCCCGACGAGGGACGACCATTTGTCAAACAAAAAAGTACTGCGAACCCCCCGGTCTACCCAGTCTCGTCGCCTCCATTAAACCGGGGTTTCAAGAAGTTCGTTAATGGCCAACAATGACGCCAGATACGCGAATTAATCGCTTAACCCGCTGTTATGTAAAAAAGAATCGTTCAATACGGAAACAAATTTATTTTTCGCGTTACCATTATTGTATTTACCGAAATAATTACATTTAATTACAATTAATTACAAAATAATACATTTCTCCGTTTAAATTCCTGCATGTTTCCAAAAGTGTTTACGTTTTTCGATATTAAAATTGGCGTATTTTTACCAGTATTATTATCACTCGATCATTTTTAGAAACGGTGAAAATTAATATTAAGTTACTAACGGTTCCCTTTACTTGACGCACGCCGTGTATAACACGGCACCGCGGTGAATTTCTCCGGTCGACAATCTGCGTACGCGGCAGTCCGATTGTACAAGAGAAACAAGACGGGAGAGCGGAATAGGATTAAGTTAATGAGATAAATAAAGTACTCACCTATTTTTCTCTAGCTCGTTATGAGTAGTCCTGCAATGGAAAGAACGTTCTTGTTAGACTTCAAAGCGTTGAAATCGTTTACTTGCGACGGCGAGGAAGGGACGAGATATTTAAAGTCGCGAGGAAACTTTCAAACTTCAAAAGAATAAAACCTGTTTCGTTAGTCGGAGATTCGTTCGCAAAAGCGACGTCAATTGTATTCAGAATTTTCAAGTTAACCCCACGATTATTTAGTTACGTGTTGCAAAATTTAAGGACGGGCTATATTTTATTATATTCTTTAATCGCGTGTACACTGTATTAACATCAAAGTACCTATGACGTTTTTAACTCTTCGTCTGATATTTTAACAACGATATTAAAAATAGTAGGTTTCGTCATAAAAGTTCCGAAAGGGGCTCTTATAATATTGAAAAAAAAAAAAAAAAAAAATTAATTGAAATGCTGATGAGTTGTGGTAGCGAAGGTAACTCACCTGCTGCCCTGGGATTTTTTCGTCTTTGGCCTTTTTGTGACCGTCCGCATATCATCGGGTATCGGCATCGTCGAAGCGTAGCCATGTTCAGCTTCTGCAACAAACCAACAGTCGGTTAGCGGAGCTCTGATATTCGCCACGTCTAAAAAAATTATTTTTATAGACTAACTGTCCATCGGACGCATCGAGATTCAACGAAATAATCATTTTTCTCCTGCATTAACGTGAAATAGACTACGAGAGGCGAGAAAACGAATTCGGATTGCGAAAGGTTAAAGTTGGCGATGCCGTTTGGAACCGTTCGAACGGAAAGGGTTAAGAGTGCACACGGTGCCGCGAACGTGGTGGAATAGTCACGTTCTGTCTTGCTAACGTAACTTACTGCGGCATTAAAGCCTGCGCGTGAACACAGGTTCGCGCGGCCATCGACGATCCGCGCGCACGAAAAGAGTGGGATTTATGTTACGATTTCAGTTAACGCTGCCTCCACGAACGAGTAACCGTCTATCCGACGAATAAATTCGAAAACGCAACAATACCGAGTGCGAAGAGTAAACTCCGCGAAATTCCGCGAAATTCCCGCGATCGAGTTTCCATCGACGGACGAGGTGGACGTGACAACAGAATTTCCACTCTTTCGAGCGTTCTTCCTCTTTTTCGAGTTAACGAAGGTGGGCATGTAGATATCGATGTTCAATCAGTGACAAGAAAAATTCCTATCTACAGTCCGTTCAACGAGACGAGTCACTAATTGCAAGTAAAAACAAAGAACTCCCTCGCTTTTCACGTGATCGGCTCCGCGACTACGTTCATTGGCTCTCACGTGTTACAATTCAAGTTATGATGGTCCTTTGCCGAGGGTTCTTGCAGGAAAGAACCCTAAATGATTGTACGATGATGAGGATCGGCCCGAAGGACTCGTCCAAGGAGCCATCAATAATTTACACAGCAATTCGTACTTGCTTCTTCGATAAGTACTTCCTCGACGAGTATAGAATTTCTTATCAGGTTTTCAATAATTGATTCTTCGATAACTAAATAATACTTTAATGACCCGGCAGATGACCTAAATGATTTCCAAATGTGTATTTTATGATTCCAGGTACTCTTCACTGGTAAGTATGGCCACGAGGTAAGTTGAAAACATGTTAAAAAATGGTTGGATTTTTGCGGAAATCCGAAATCCGTAAATCGGCCCTGCAATGCTCACGTGCTCGTGTTTATACTTGGTGACTCGTCTCGTTGAATGGAGTAAAAATATAAAATTTCACGCGAATGTAATTATATGCGCCCACTGATTGTGTTTATGTAGCGTGATCCTATCCATCTCGGTTCCAGATACAGATCGCCAGCTACCCCGCTTACAAGTGAACCGATTTTATCACTGGAAGGCGGCAACTGCTGTATCCGACGCTTCCCACCAGGAATCCTACCGTTACATAAATTTGCCTATCAACGAACAAAAATAGCACTGACCGTAGTTCGCCGTTAAAATCGCTCCAACCGCGAACGTACGGATAATTGTGCTCGATCATCAATCGAGAAATTGATATTATGTAAGAGGACGGGCAGCGGGAGGATCCGAGGACACCGTGGAGCAAAAACTCGCCGCTAACATCGCATAAAGATCAGCTACCACGACGAATGGTGTCGATTACGAATAAAAATTACAAGATCAACGGGGAGGATTTGCGTTGAAAGGTCGCAAAAATAAAAACGTTCCGTTCCAAGGACGAATCGAACGACCTACGGACCGAACGTTATTCGAAGTCAAATGAAATAAGTATGAAAGAGTTTCTCAATTATTTCAAATAACGGTCATTAAAGTATTATTTAGTTATCGAAGAAACAATTATTGAAAACCTGATAAGAAATTCTATACGAGGCGGTACTTATCGAAGGAAGTACTTATCGAAGAAGCAAGTACGAATTGTAATATAAATTATTGATGGCTCCTTGGACGAGTCCTTCGGGCCGATCCTCATCATCGTACAACAGCCCTAATGGCAGCCGGTGAAAAAGAACACGGGCGCCCGCGACATCGACCATCTGTCCTCGTGAAAGAAGAAAAGCGTCTCGCACGCATGCCACGACCATAAGGCTGTGCCGCGTCATGCAAAAGAGAAATTCGCGACGTGAATAGCGCGCCAAAGTTAGGCAAGCGAGGGAGACAAAAATATAGGGGACGAAGTAGACCTTATGGAACTCGTTTGTAGAAGCGAACGGGAGATCGAGAGGGTTGCGACGGCTATTTCCAAAAATTTCAACAAAACACGGAAACCCGTCTGTGCGTGGGAATTCCGGAACAAAGGATCGCAAATAATGGCGGAGATTTTGTTTTTTCGTCCGCTTGGCCCCTTGGTTTTTTCATCCGTTCGCTCGTTGACGCTAAACTGTTCACCGAAAGCCGTTGACGAGGAATTATTAAATTTTTTTCGTGCGTTGGACAATTTATGTTTGTCATTTAATCAAGACTGTGTTGCTTAGCAAGAACATTTCGACGAGTTTCTAAACTAGTTTTCGAAACACTCCTGAATCGTGTTCAGTCCAGAACACTCTTTTAAATTATAAATTCTATAACGACGTAAGTTTTGTTAAACAAACAACTTCCGTTGGATGAAGAGCAACCGAAATCTTGGACGGGAATCGTGATGCTAATGATATACCAATCGCGAAAACTCGCTCGTCTCGCAGCATCGGAAAGAAAACAAAGAAAAAGTAACGAAGGACGGTTGGACGAAAGAAGTTCAGTCATTCGAGGTATTTCGCGACGAATGAACGAGCGAAAGATGGTCGACAGGAGAGCGATGAATTAACAAAACATTCCCTGGCCCTTTGGAGCTCACCGAACGAATACAGAGCGAAGGCAAAAGTGCGCGACGCTCCCGAATGTGCTCTACTCGGACCTGAGGAACGGTGCAAAGAGCAGTATCATGGACAAGTCGAGTGGAAGCTTAAATTACGAGAGGAAATGATCTCTGGAATAACTTTCAGCCGTCTAACTTTGGTTAACCGATGGTGTCGGCTGTTTAGACCGCGACGAATTTCAATTGCGTATCTTCTTATCCATTTATCTAATAGAATATTCACAGTTCCGTAACTTCTTTTTTTTTTTTTTTTTAGAAAGTTAGTAATTATCGAATAAATATTTCTACTTAAACTACAGTTACAAACGATCGTATGTGATAACACAGAATGAATTTCTACTCTTAATATATCCATTTGCGAAGAAATCTTTCGAGGTTTCTGGTTGTTCTATTTAGTTCTCCTCTATCTTCTGGACTTCTATTACTTCGCAAGGCTCTCCCTAATTTACGTTTCCTCGGCGAAAGGGGAATTGCAAAACGTCATTCCCCCGATTCGCCGACTATTCACCGCGAATAGTCGCGGAGGTGCAGGAAACTGTATTCCGCGTCGAGCACTCTTCCAAGTTTCTCGTGTACGGACAATTTGATTCGCTGGGACGCATTCATCGCGTAACTCGGTCGTTGCGCGACGAAATTCTCTAATGCCAGCCGGGGACATTAGTTTGACGCTCGGTGAATGCGTTCACTGCGATCGGAGAACCAAAGCCGATTAACCTTTTACGGACCGTCATTTCGTCGCACGAAGCACGGAGTAACGTCGAGGTCGCAGAAAAATATAAACGAACGAAATTAATATAAACGAAAATTTAATTTAACTGAATAATAAATCGTACTTGAACACGTCGAACATAGAGATAGCAAAGGAACGAATGCATTCGGAAGAAACAAACGTATCATCGAGAATTGTTCCCATCTCTGTGACGCGGCAGCGATGTGTAAACAGGGTCGACCCGAGCGATCTCTGAAAGGATTCAAACTCGTGACTCACGTTTTCGGGTGACCACCGTTTGTTTCGAAGCGAGCCACTAAATCGAACGTTAACCCTCCTCTAACGGTTATGACCCAAATCTGTTATTCGTCGTGGTGCGCGCGCTTTCTATTTTCAAGTCTAAATCCGTACAAAGACCCATTTGCTCGCGTCAGTAACTAACGAATTAATCCACGCACGATTAAAATTCCAATCGTATAAATAGAATCGGAATTCGATTTTTAACGTACTCCGAAATAATTTTAGTTTGTAAATTATCGATGTAAATCTAGCGCGAGTGATGATAAATTTGTTCCTACATTAAATTTAAAAAAAAAAAAAAAAAATGGACGTTCACGCCGAAGCGATTGGGAATCACCGTTGTATCGTTACGAAAGTGCTCGGTATCCACGACTTCCGTTAGAAATTCGACCATTTCGCAACGAGCTCACGAAGTGCAGCCTCCACGCTAATAAGCGTTCTTTTACGCGGTCGTATCGTTTGGGGGCGCTTTTGAGGGAAGCCCGTGCCAAATAGGCCAATTAATATAACGTAACAGCCTTATCTCGCGTATCTATATAATAGTTAACGCTCGATCGACGATTCGCTGTGATTCCCCCTGTTCTTCACTAGCGGCCAATAAACCGACATGGAAAGCTCTTTCTGGGGCTCGGACTCGTCGAATCTGTACACGATATTTCGTTCGAGTAACGGATAAACTTTGTATTTATTGTTTATAAAATATCTAAAATTATTAAATGTAGAAATCAATTCTGTGCCTTCACATTCAATTATTGTCGACTCTAGTTTCGATAAAAGTTAAACAATAACGAAATAACCAGATTGCTTGGAAACGTAGAAAACTCCAACGCGAGAGAACTGGTGGGTTCAATCTTCCTAGGGTTAAACCAGGAGAGATCGATGCACGTAACGGAGGGAGAGGAGAGAAACAAAGAAGCCGTTCTCTCCGAGTGTTCGGTTGAACGTGTGTACGTGATGCGAGCGATGCCCCGTACCACGCGGATCTTAAAAGAAGCAGGAAAGAAGAATTACGACACCGTAAATCTCGACCGAGCTATTCGAAGGCGAAATGCAAAGCGACGCGAGGTTTTATTGTGATCCGTGTATTTCGGTTATTTACGTCACCGAGCGGTTCGGATGATGTATGAAAACCTATCGAGGAATATTTGTATCGCGGCGTATTAGTAACACCCAGAGAACGACACGTGACGCTGAATTGAAAACCGCCGATAATCGAATTGTTCGAAAGTAATCAATTTTTAAAAAATGACTTTTGCACCGTTTCGCCTCTTGTAGGGCCATCACTGGGTAGCGAGAGAGGAAAACAGAAGCTATGGAGCTTCGCGAGATGCACAGGAGACGAAGAGGAGAGCGATAACGCTGCGATTCGTAACGCACATGCGAGAGAACATGCAGCTCGTCGGGTAACGACGCAGCAGTATTATAAGTGGAGTGATAAAATGAGATCATCGTTGACGCTTCTCACGCACTGCCGCACACGAACGCGGTGAAGCGATCTACGCAGCAAAACGACACGCAACGATTGTGCCGCGCGCGCGCGGCGAAAAAAACAAGGCGCATATATTTGCCCGGTGTTTACCGGCGTGGCCCGAGAAACAGGCGTGCGCTATGTTGCGTCAGAGGAGCAACACCATCCACGAAGGTCACGCGCATCGTTTCGAACAGGACTGGACTCGTCTAATTTGTTCGCGAGTACCTCGACGATGCGATTGTTCGAGAAATATAATTGGAATGTTTTATTCGAGAGATGTAAGAAGACGAGGAAATTGGGAAATACTTGTACATTACTCTCGGTACGCTCACGGCGAAAATATTTTGTCCGAAAAGCATATAATAGAATAATGCTGAAATAGAAACAGAGTTCCGAAAATAGTTTCAAATGTTTCGCGCCAGAAATTATCAGATCCAGAATCTCAATCTCTCGGTATATAAATTTAAATACTTGAAGTTCACGTCCTTCGTCTTACGTAACGGAAACGTTTAATCTTTGAAATTTTCGAAACTAGAAATGGAAAACGTCGAGCGATTTATATTTGACGGTCATCTATTAAGAATCGCTAACGTCACTAACGAGATGCAGCTTTCTTATTTCGATAATAATATTCGAACAGTCTCCTTAGCCCTAGTTCCAAAATCGTACGACCGAAGCGCTGAGCAAACTTCGAGCTGCCTCCTGGGTCCGTTCCGGAGCTCGGTCTCCAGAGGTCACGTGGGAGAAACCGAACGAGAAAATTCTAACCAGACCTGAATTCGTCCCAAGGATCGACAAATCAGGAGAAAACGGTGAACGTGGAATCATCGAAGCGAGGAAAGGCGTAATGACAAAGGTCGCGATTCCGAGATATCCAGTGATGGCGCACGCACGCCAGTTGCCATGTGCCAATGACATTGCACACGTACACACGCGACACGCCGGCTCGACTTGACAGCGCTTCCATCGCGGTGGGGGTATAAAGAAGAAGAAGAAAAAAAAAAAAAAAAAGAAACGAACGCAGCGGCAGAGCAATACTCACCTCTTTCCCTTCGTTCAATATACTCGGCGGCCTGTAGTAGGGCAGCAATGCTCATATTTCCCCGGTTTGGCGTAATTCTGGCGGCTTCGGTTCACTACCTCTTCCCCTGCAATCCCCCGGGCACTTGCACCGCGCCGCGACACACAACGCGATAAACGTTCAGAAACGCACACACCGGCAGCCCCCGTAATACCGCGACGATGCGTTGTTGTTGTTGATGTTGCTGGTTGGCGCTGCTGCCACCTCTCCAACTTTTCTCTCCACCCGCCTGTTCTACCCCCACTCCTTCTCTTCCTCCTCTTCCTCCTCCGCCACCTCTTCCTCCTTTTCTCCGTCCGTCCGCGCGCCTCGCTGGCTGCGTTCGCTTTACGTGCACGTAACGACACACACACACAACACACACACACGCGCGAGGCTAGGCACGATTTCCAACGGGCGCTAGATTCGCGGACGGCAGATCGACGGCCAGGCCTCTCCAACCGCGATAGACATCAAGAACCGTCTCTTTTTTTTTCTTTTTTCTCTCTCCCGATCTTCGCTCCTGTTTCTCGAATATATCTTTTTCTCCCTCCGTCGTCTGTTCCCCGAGTTCAACAATTTTCTCGTGTCTCTGTTTCTTTCGCTGTCCGTCCCTCACTCGGAGTCTGCCAGTTTGCTCGTCCCTCGCGATGCTCTTTTCCCCCTTTTGTTCAACGTTTCACTTGTGTTACCCTTCTTCCACCGTCTTCTTCTTTCCCTTCTTTATCACCCTCTGGCTGACTTCGTCGGTCCGTTTTCTTCTTCCTTCACCTTCGTTTCACAACATTCACTAGGATCACATCAAAAACACCGTTGAAAAGAGAACGCCCCGGAATCGGGAGCGAAAAATACGTCGTGTCGCGCTTTGCTCTACAACTTTCTTCGCGCGGAGAGCCGCATGCGAGCGAACCGAGAGCGTGTTTTCGAGACAGAGAAACATTCGGACGCGATTGGAAAGAATGCACTATAACCGAAGTCACTAGGCGAGTCGAGAGGGCCGAGAACAGTGGCGTATTATCCTATAGGCAAACAAAACGTCACGCTAAGAGCCCCGCTACTGTTATTCGTTCGACTTCTAGATGAGAATCAAATTCCCTTTTCCATTCAATCGAGTTCTTTATCTTCTATTCCATTCTTCTCAGAATGAAATTAGAATAACTGGCGTTCAACAACCTTGAATGACCTTCAACCATAGGTCATTGTACGCATCTATAAGTATCCCTGACTACACACCTGCAGTGGCGTGTTATTCCCCAGGCAAACGACACATCTGCCTAGGGCCCAGATCAAAGGAGACCCTTAAAATCTTTCAAAACCTCAAGGTTATTATTACATCCGAAAAAAACTTGATACCGATAAATACTGCCAGCTTCGAATTGAAACTTGTTGAATTCACGGGAAAAAGCGTTCGATCGATTCCTATCATTTATTTAAACTCAAAGATTTTCGTTCGTAAAGCGACCTTTAAAGACCTTAAAAAGAAGAGTAATGTTATTCGTAGAAAGCGTTGCCGTGTCTTCGCTGACGATCAAATAAAAAATTAATTTGACATTTATTCTTCCGCCAAGTCATTTCAACCTAGTATTCACCGTAATACATTATCTCGCGTAATAATTCATACACGGTAATATTTGCTCTTCCTATTATTCGCGTTTCTAAACTATCGTACAACAATTAAATTGAGTAAATGTTGGTATAACGAACAAACAAAGTGAGCCGTAAAAAATCTAGAAATTCGCGAGGTCAGTTGAGACACCTCCCGTCAGAAGTGCTTCTAGAATTAGATTCGTTTCTGAGGATGATACTCCGATGAGAAAAGTGCAAGAATTGTCAGGTTTCGATTTGTGTTCGAACTCGTCCACGATTATTTGAATTTTAGAAAGGTTGTCAACCGTTTAGTTTTTTCTTTAGGCGAGTGACCTCGGAAATTGAATTTGGTCTTGGGCCCCGCTAAGGTATAATGCGCCACTGGTCGAGATTACGCGTGTCGCCGGTAATTTATCGCGGACGAACGAACGCGAAGGGACCTGACCTCGATCGGTGGGCAGGTTGACTCGCGCGCGCGCGCGCGCGCTCTCGTGAAACTAGTATTTTTGGTCAGAACCGCGAGCATATCGCTGACGGTGTGCGACGTGCATGTGTATATGCGACCACTTTACGTGCCGGCTACTTGTTTTGTGCAGCGACCTTGAACGCGTAGATCTTACCGAGCCGCGCGCCGCGAACACAAGAGAATCTAGATGTTGGGATATTTCAAACGTCCACGACAATCGCGACTCCAATCCAATTCGAACGTTACGAAAAAGTTACACGACAACGGAAAAAATAGCACGCACTCAAGTAAACGACTCCGTGGAACAAGTACTTTTCGTAACTATGTACTTTCTCCAAAGTATAGACTTTTATTGGAGCTTTATGAAGATACAAAAATTAAATATTTTCAATTCAGAATTTTTTACTGTAAGATATATATATATATAGCGAAGAATAGGTTTTATTAAAAGAATAAAGTTCCGAATATTCACTCACTTTGATCACGTTTCTATTCATCTAAACTCGATTTAGCAAGGAAATACTGCGAAAATGATTCGCGCACGTATATCAATCGGCGGTTTTTCCACGATCCACGCGTGTAACTCGGTCAACTTCTCGTGGGGTCAACGATTCCTATCAAACTCACGCATCGCAATGTGCAATGTTCAGCGAGACGAACACTCGTAAAGTCCCGTGTCGATAAAACTGTAATTTGCCCGTCAGAGAAAACGTACGCTGTCACGCGCGAAACAACGCGTAGCAAATCTTCTAGAAACTCGCATCGTACGCGACCAGACCGAACGTGGTAAGTGCTTCGTACTGGTTCTCCGTTCAGGATGAGAACACAGAGAGGTGCTCCCTTGATTCCGTTCTCGGCTTGACTGCCGAGCGATTTTAACTACACATGCAAGTCACACCGCACAACACGCCCACGCACACGCGCGCAAACGTAAATGAAAATGCGTGTATACGATCGGTAACGAGTTCCCATGCGAGAAACAACAGCAACACGGTGGTGTGCACACACATCGACTGCGTAGAACGTTGTACAAAGGCACGTCCTCAAAATTCAAAAAATCGATTCGCTATTTACGAATTTCGCATTTCCTTCATTTTAAAGTATCTCGAGTTAACATTCCCAATGACCGATTGAAATTATTTAACTTCGAGCGTTGTCAAACAGTACCTGGCAATCGTGGGAAATATTCGTCTCAACAATATTATGATCGACTAATCGCCAGTCGAATATCATCCGACCACCTGCAAGATCGACTATTTTTAAATTCACTGCCATCGAATAAATAACTAATAAACAGTGACTCACTCGCCACTCGATATCTAGTCCATTTTTCCCTCGCAATGTTTTAATTATAAATATGTAGATTTAACCTACAAACTTCAAACTATACGCGAGATATACGCTTAGCAACTAGAGAAGCGAGTTTCGACAGACTGAATCGAGTCACGTCGATGATTGATTCCAGAAGCGATTCGCTCGCAGGAATCGAACGTACCGTGTAAGAAAGGAGTGACACGCAATACGCGAAAGCAACCTTAAAGAGTCGCGAGTGTGTGTATGTCGCGTATCTGACAATACGTTAAACGTGCACTTTTTTTGACAACGTTCTAGCGTGGCTGTGGTATCAATCGTCTTGTGTACATGACACTGGTAAACGCGTGCGTGTGTGTGACGTAGAGGATCGAGTGTATTTCGACTCTATCGTCCACCTAGTGACATTTGGCACGCCGGATACGTGTTCGCTCGCACACGAAAGTAGGCGCAGCTGAGCGACGACGTTAAAGAAAGACGGGTCACTGTGGATCGGCACTGCCTAACACTACCGCTGCACAGGTTTTCGCGGGTACTGCGAGGGGGAGGGGGGGGGCTGGTCAGGACAAAGAAAAAGAGGCTTGAACTGACCGACGACGAGCCCACGAGCCCCCGACGACGACGACGACGACGACGACGACTACGACAAGCCGACGAGCGAGCGACAGCCTGATACCTCCGCACTTCGCGAGCACTCTCACGCATTTATCGATGTCAAACGTCTCTGCACCGTAGAAGCACCAGGCGTCGTTTCTTACGGGTACGTTGATTGGCCGAGCGGTGCGCGAGTGCACTGCCTCGGCCAATCGCTGATGACAACACGAGGCTGCCGTATGAGCCGCCACCAGCACCGGTGGTGTCACGTGAATCTCATGCCCGAAAACAAAACAAACAGCTGGGCCCGTGTTCCTCGCCTCGCACTCCTGCACGCCATCGTGCGTGTGCTTTCGATGCATGATATTCTCGGAATAAATATCCCCTTCGTTTTATACTATATACCAAAATTATGAATTCGCATATTACGTATTACCGTATCGATCAAATCCGCTGTTACTGATCGAATCGAAGAATAAGGTGCTAACAATCGGATCGATTTTTAAATCGTTCGAGGAACATTTTACAGAGCTTGTTACAGTTTATTCGATTCTACCGAGTCGAATATGAATCGTATCGTGGTACAGTTATCCAACATATGATTAAAACGTGAAAGTATCAATTTATGTCTTCTCACCTTGCGCATTTTAAGAGTAGTGCGTTTGAAAATTCGTACAATCGCGCCATCTTCGGTATCCAATTATCGTCGTCGTAGCTTTTTTCAAATTGGCACTTCTGAAACCCTCGCGATCTATGTAGCGTCTATTGAATTATCGCGTTTGAACTCGGTAAAAGTATGGCATTATTTGACGAAAATCAACGAGTTTTCAGTTGTAATTGTGAAAAATATACACGGTGGAAGCATGGAACGTCGAAACCTGCATATCTCTAGGATTCCCGTCAAGGGTTAGAGAATTTTCTACGAGAAACGCTGCTCGTCTAAGAAGCTGTCGGCCGATCTGTAAGTTGCACGAAGTTAACAAATTTTACGTAGGTGCTATTTAATTTTAAGGAAAATGACAGTTGAAAGAAAATTGCAAACGTGCGTTTATACATCACATCTATTCACGTTAGTAATAAAGTTTTCGCGAATATCATCGTTTCTACTATACTCGCGCAACAAACGATTAAAAATTTTCATTTCTATCGTTTTGTATTCATTTAATAGCGCATAGATATTTGTCTGAATATATTATCGACTGTATAAGTAGACGTACTATTAGAATATTAAGTTTCTTAAACAAGAATAATGCATTCGAAAAATAATCAATAAAAATCTTGCATATGAAATTACATTTTGTTCCTTACTTATTTTATTTGTTTTGTATAAAATTATACATATTTGTATTTTCTATAGTTTTATATCGATCTTTTCAATATTATTACATTCGAGCTACAGGAACTATGTTAAGTAATGCAAGAGCATTTTCAAGTACAATTTGCAATGCATGCAGCATGTATAATTGTGCAATCATTCTTGGAAACAAATGATCATATGCTTCCTGTAACAAAAGGTGAATTATTTATCATGTATATAATTTAAAATATCATTTACACTTGTAAAGAAATCTGTAAAGGATTATCAAAACTTACAGTTAGAATTCTGACTCTACGATAATAGATACTAAATTTTTGGCACAACCGTGACAAGAACATACATATAACTTGTGGATTTGTTTGGAAAACAGGTTCATACCTCAAGCAGTCCTTTATCATTGTCTGATATCCAATGATAAAGTTATATATGAGTTCCCATTCTTCCTACAAACAATACATTGTGTAAATCATCAGGTTTTTTTTAGTTATTCAGAATAATGGTGTATGCATAGTTTTTGAATGAAATACCTCATCATCTAGCAAAGAAAAGTTTACATCATCAATGTTTGGTAAATCAGGGTATTTCCCTATCGATCTTTTATCATTATACTTTTCAATAATTGCTGTTATTCTTACGGTATTATATAATATAAAAGATGCATCTAAAAAATGATAATAATAAGAATCGTTTGTATAGAAATTTTAAGTAGTAATGTTAAATTAAAAACTTTTAGAACCTTTCATATTTGTGATGGCCCTGTTAGGTGCAGAATTACATCCAATAACAATAGAACGGCTGGGTTTTACAGACAGTAATTGAAATGTAATCATTGCCTTTGCAACATTTTCAAAGAAACAACCATCCGCCTGTAACTTGTGTTCGTATAATTCACAAAACTTCTCATCATTTACAGCTTCCAATTCTTTAATTTTGCTCCTAATATATTCTTTCCATGATATTGTTGTCTCCTTAGTATTCGAATCTATATTCTTTACAACACCGCACACACACCTTTCATAATTCTCATTTGCATTACCTTGTGATTTAGAGGTAAATACAAGTTTAAAATCAGGCTCTTCTTCACCTGTTCTACATCCATGTAGATTCAAAATATTTTCTGTTACACTTCGTATTAAATGTAATCTTGCAGTTGTGAGTTCTGATTCCTCATCTTCGTGTGTTTTGAGACTAAAAACTTTATTAATCGAAGAGGGTTTTCCAAAGTTGCATTTCAGATGGATGACTGCCTTAATCGAGTCTGTTATGAGAGGAGTACGATACAAAAATAAGCAAACTCGTTCTTTTTCCAATAAATATCTTTCTATTTTTATCTGCCAATTGCAGCTGGACAGTATCAGTAACTCTAAAACCTGCAAAAAATAAACAATTACTAAAATTAGGTTATGTCTGGTTCTTTTACAATGATTATATTTTACCCTACTGTACCTGTTTTGCAACATCTGTCTCAGTCTTGTCACTTATGTCACTGCTGTGCACATGTAGGAAATGTTCCAAAATTGTTGCACACTTTCCATCGCATATGTTTCTACAATGCAATATGCTTTTCCATACTTTAAGGTTGGGTGAAAAATATAATTCCCCATTTGTTGATAAATTGTTATTGCTTACTTTAACAAGTGGAATATTTTTGCAAGTATCACCACTCAAGTATGATACTATGTTGTCAATGATTGTTTGTATACAAATAGATGAGGACTTCTCCATGAGAAGCTCCATGTGAGAAGTGCTCCTATCTGAAACCTGCTATAGTTATATCTGCCTCCATTTATGAAACTATAGTACAATCATTGCAGAGTAAACATTATAAAAAAAAACAAGACAAACATAAAATAAAGTGAGGAACAAAAAAACTTGTGTTTATTTGTATCATGGGTTACTACTACTGTCAGAATGAAATATTATATTTTTTGAAATATTTTTTATAGCAGTATTTTATGATTGCTAGTAATCGATACATAGGCTTAGAAAATTGTACAAATTCGTCCTTTTTTTCATGATGTAGTGTCGCAATAGAGAACCACTTAAGCAGATATAAATAAGGTATGTCCGAGGGCCGATTGAAGAGCAATATTCATTGGTTTCTTTATTAGAGTCACAGAGGATGGATTGTCCAAACAAATGATTGCAAATAATAACATTAATATATTATCCACTATACTTATAAATACGTTTATGTATCTTACAAAGTCATCACAAAAACCATCTTCTATTTAAGCGTATCTAGAATGACGATCAAATCGTTAAGTAAAATACACGGCCATAATACGTTGATAAACCTAAAATTTACATCGTTTTCTTTGATATCGATTATCACATAGAGTGGTGGTACTTAACGTATGCTATTGCGGCGAGTTCTTTGCAAAATTCCTCCGTGACGATCACGCTTTCGAACAGAATGTTCTCCTTCTCTCTGAAAAATAATGAAAAATATTCGTTTCACGTGTCGACTGTCCAAGTGGAAAATTGATAATATACAAGGTGTTTCGTCTAACTCCGTTCAATATCTCGCGAGAAGAACACAAAAGTTGTTTGGTACAAAAGGATAAATTTGATGATGTAAATAATTTCTTTCCCTCACGAGGTACAGAATTATTCCCAGTTAGAAGAAACATCTTGGAGATCATCCGAAGACTGAACAATTTCGTTTTGGGAGTCTCTGCGTACCCTTCGTGGGAACAGTCCTCCAGCAATCGTTCTCGCGTCTCCTTCAGCATTTGCTTGTGATCCGGCGTCTTTGGTACTTCGTTCACGAGCTGCTTGACAACTTTTTGCAGACAAGTAAACAAGTTTTTTGTGCCGGGTGCTAACGGTAGCAGCGGATTCAATAAAAATTCGTGCAGGTACGGATGAGGTAAGAGCGCCAGCCTCGAGATCACCACTGTTAGCTGGAGATTGATCTCGTACTTTTGTCGCGGCACGTTGGCCACCTTCTCGAACAGCATGGTCATGAAGGGACCCATGTAGAACCTGACTGAGCAGTGGTCAGCCTCCGGTCTCGAGTCGGAACTCGCTGAATCGTCGATGGTCACTGCCTCCAACGGCCAGGCCATCAGCGAGCAGTCTGTTAGCACAGTGGAGTACTGTCTCTCCAAGTCGGCCATGTACCGCTCGTAGTTGTTCACGTCAGTGTCGGTTTGCAGATAGCGCGGAATCAGGGACAGGAAGCTGAAACGGAATTCGATATTGTATTTCTGCGGCGATCCTGTTAGAGTACATACTATAATTCAACGTTTTATTTTACTACGAATTCGAAGGAGCTCGCAACATTTACCAGTTCACTATTCTATGAATGTTACTGGGCGCCAATGTTCTGCTGTGACTCTGCTCGTACGAGAGGTCCAGCAAGCCCTTCTTTTCCCTTTCTCGTTCGTCCTCCTCGTCGCTCCAGGAGGCTATCGCGCTATCAGCGGCCGCGTTATCGTAATAGCCTCGAGTCGACAAATAGACCAACACTAAACAGTGTAACGTATGCTCGTTCCTCTTCTCTATCATTTCCTCGAACAGCTTCAACGTTTCCAACGTTAAATCGTCGCTGTCCGTGAAACAGTTGTCTATCAGCCTGTGCAACACAGGCGACGTCCACACGTTCGGTATCTCTGGGCCTCTGTCTTGCCCCACTAACCAGTAGCTCATTTCTGAAACGAAAGTCTTTGAATAGAGGAAAGATACGAAGAACCCTGATACCACGCAGACTGAAGTCTTTGCAGCATACCTGTACAGAGGGCGCTGGACGTTAACTCCTTCAAGCACTTTGTGACCAGCGCCGTGATAAGAACAACGTGATGCTCAGCCAGAGCTGGCGTCACGATGCTCTCGAAGAACTTCACTCTGATGCTCTTCGCCAGGGCCTCGGCGACCTCTGGATGCGCCTCCCTCGCCAGCTGATTGCAATAGTCGAACCACATGAAAAACGCGGCGACCTGCCTACAACCTGAGAACTTTTTCTCCTTCGTCCACGCTGGGGAGTCCAGGCCCCACGTGACGTCCACGCCGTCGATCTCGTTCGGATCGACGTGCGCTGGAATGGCGTTGAACAGGTTCTCTAATCTACTCGGTATCAAGGTCGTTATGTCGCTGTTTGCGACCGTCTGGGCGAACGACGAATCCTCCAGGGACGCCAGCACCATTATTCCCTCGCACGCTCTTATCCTCACGGTATTGTCCTGGAAGAGATCGTTAGGTTCAGAAGTTGCATGTTATCAACGTTGGTCAAGTGAAAGAGCGATGTCAGTTTGAGTCCTACGTGAAATATATACCGATCGAATATTCAGCCTATCCTGTAGCGTTGATATTAATCTTCAAGTAAAAGAGTGAAATCGATTTGAGTCCTAGACTATTCTGAGAAACATCTAGCAGGATGTCCGAGACATTAACGTCTGGATAATCCCCTGATTCGTATCTATATCGTAACAGTTATCGCTGAGGAATCCCTGACCCAGATATACCCCAGAACAATTCTCACAGAGATGTGGCTGATTCATAGATGGATCGATACAGATTTGGCTCAAGAAGCTTATGGCTTCCAAGCCCAATGTGACTGACACCACCCTTAACGAGGACGACGAACTCATCAACGACGCGAGCATCTTCCTAGCATCGCCACTTTCATCTCGAACGGACTGATCGCTTACCGCAGTGTTTATGTAACTCAACAAGGCATCTAGTAGAAGGCATTTGGATTTCTGCGGTGTCTTCGAAGTCAGCAGGTTCTGATCGTTCTCCACGCAGCCGGAGTCCTCGTAACCGCCGCCGAACTCGACGTCCACCCTCAGGTCCCTGAGGTTCTGCAGATGGGTGTCGATCTCGTTCATCAGAGCCACGTCCTCGCACTTGTGCGCGACTTCGTAGTCCTGTGACTCCTCGGTCGACCCCCGGGCGTCTGGAACTGCCTCGCACACGGGTTTCTGGGTCGTGGGACTCGAGGACTGGGACCCGTTCTCGGCTTCCCTGGAAGACACCGACTCGTTCGATCGACCAGAGGCCCCGCGAGCTGTCTCAGCCTTGCTGGAGGATCTGTTCGACCCTACGGACCGTCTTCTATCGTTCTCGGTGCCGAACAGATTAGGATTTATGAGCGTGACCGCCTGGGTGTCCAGTGGCTCGAACAGTGGATTGAAATTGTTTCTTTTCCTGGCTGGTATGTAGGTGACCCTCTCTACCTCCATTCGCTCAGAGTTCCTCCTCGCAGCGGCGTGTTGTTTCTGGACCGCTGGCGCGTCGTTTATCATGTTGGTCACGTGGGGATACTTGCACACCAGGAAGCACAACGTGAGGAGAAACTGGACCTCTTCTGCCTCCATGGGGGACGGGGGATTGCCATTGCACAAGGAGATCAACCTTTGCACTGGCCCGTATATCGACGTGTGGTGCAATAAAGGGTACTTGGATCTACCCAGCAACTTCCTCAGGAAGGACAGACAGACCATCCTCATCCCTGGGGGAGTCTCTGCGCTGGCCAGCGTCGCCAGCAGGTCCAGCAGCTTGTGCTGCAAGAGATACTCCAGACACGGACCGGGCTCATTTTCATCCTTCTCCTCCTCCAACAGGATCTCCAACAACCTGTCCAGGTGTCGTGGTATGCCTGTCGTCTGTATCGGGACCTTGCAGTTCGTCAGGTGGTTCACGTAAAAGTTCATCAGCTGCTTCCAGTGGTACGTGAAGTCTTGCAGCGGCGTGGCTGGCGGCGCTATCTGCAATCAACGAGCGGACATCAGCGGAACAGGAAAACAGCTCGGGCGATGCTAATTAGCGAAACTTGGTGATCGTATTACGTCGTCGCGCGCGTTTTTCAGGAAGAATAAATAAGGCGCAAAACACGGCGGCAGGTTATTGAATGTGCACATGTTAATGAATCGCGACCGGCTCGGCTAGGTGCAATGTTGAGCTTTAAATAATTACATAAGCGGTTAAATATAACCACGCACATTGTTCGACAGATCGGATTCGACGTCGATGTGAGATTGGTCGCTGACGAGTCTCCTTGGATGATCGACACACTTAGCTTTCTTGGGCTACTATTGGCCATCTTTGCTTTTCTTTTTTTTTTTTTTTGTGATCGTGAGCCTCGTTTGGGTTCGATCGGATTGGAAACTTTCGATTGTTTCGTGGATTCGTTTCTGTGAGTTCTTGATTACAGGTCCTCGGCTTTTCGCTCGAGAGGAAGTGTTGAAATTTTGTAAAATCGAAACAAAATGTTTGGTTGGGAGCAGGATACTTACATCGGTCGATGCGCATGGAATAAATTCCACCGTGTTTGCTGAGTAAAATCGAGCAATGCGCACGGGACCCTTATTATATTTACCTCGTATACTTGCAAGTGAAACAAGAAGAAGAAGCGAAGCTCCGTTCGAGGAAAATAAAAATCATATGGTTTGGAAAGAACAATCACAAGGAGTTGGGAGGAGGGGAAGGAGGATTTCTAATTCATTATTCATCGAATAAAAATTATAATACATAATACCGACTCGTTCTGTATCGATAGAATTTCATGAAATTGGATGTTGTATAAATCAAGGCCGTTCGTTCTTCGACAACACGTGCCGTAAATATTACATTCAATTTAGTCATAACCTCTAAGTTCACGAGTTCGAATTAGTATCAGATTTCGTTGTGTACAATTCGAACGAAGAATGTCGATTCGTGTCTGCATGCTCTCGTCCTTGAAAGCCAGCTACAAGGTCGAAACGTCGATAGACGCTGCACCGTATCGACGATGTAAACAAAAACTTGAAACTGGTTCTAGAAAGGCTGAATAAAATTGGCATCAGTCGCGATAGCTATCACATCCACCAGAACA